CGCACATTGAAACTGCCCCATTCCTGGCGAGCGACTTGCAAGAACTGTTTGTACTCTCTGCTGTTTGCTTCTGCACTGTTTCTGTACATTGTCATATCTAAAGCTTGTTCGTGGGACTGGCATGGGGAACCTCAGGCCGCCATGCTCTCGTTGCCCCTCCAGACAAATTGGCGGCTGCTTATAACTCCTAAGGTCACTTGTGCTGAAGATCCCCCATATGTGGTGCTGATGGCGATGACGGGAGCTGGAGACCCTGAGGGGCGGACTGTCATAAGGAGCACATGGGGAGGGGTCAGCGAGGCAGCCGGAAAGAGGGTTCGATTATTCTTCTTGTTGGGCACCGTGGAGTCGCAGGATGTGCAGAAGGCGGTAGAGAAGGAGGCGGAGGAGTACGGGGACATTCTTCAGCACGCAGCCCCTGACAAATACACTAATCTTGCAACAAAGGCGGCGACGATGATCCAATGGATGGCGGCGTCTTGCCCTGAGGCGAAGTTTTTAGTTAAGGCGGATACTGATACATTAGTGAACTTGGATGTGATGATTCCTTATTTGATAAAAGTGGAGAACAAGGGGGATCTCGCTTTAGGCTATCGTTTAGACAACATGCCTCTCATTACTTCTGAGAAATCACGCAACTATCAGGACCCTCTGGTGTTTCCGCGGAAGGTATTCCCTCCTTATCTTTCAGGTGCGTGTTATATTGTCTCGGGAAGTCTAATCCAGAAGGTGGTGCGCGTCTTGCCGGAAGTGCCGCGGGTCAGAAATGAAGACACCTTCTTAGGAATGTGTTTGGAACGCCTGGGAATTCAGCCTACTAACATTGGGTCAGAAGCGCCGATTAGTCCTTGGTTTGACCCGGCACAGGGACCTTGTGCTGCGTTCCGGCTAGCTGCAGCTCATTCCTTTAAGCGGGACCTTTTGGTTGCCATATGGAGGTGGTGGAAAACCGGAGGAGCCAAAATGTGTCACTAATCTAGCAGTGTGTGCTCCTTCAGGACACTCCAGTAACTGAATATATTATTTCCCTGGCGAATTAAATGTGCCCGTGAATACAAAATTATCCAATTGAGAAATCCAGTTTCCGGCACTCACTCGGGGATTTTGTCCGGTTGAACTTGGTTTGTTATTATATTTAGGCATCACTTCTGGCGGCCTAGTGGACGCCAGGTGATTGAGGTGCCTTTACATCACTCCTGGCGACTTAGTGGGTACCAGGTGGTCGATCTAAAGGCGCCTCGTCGGCCGTGTTTTGACAAGGCTAGCATAATTAGAGTTGAAGGGACTAGCCACAGGCTAGTGAAACAAACATTTTTAGTTCTTTATTCTACCCTGATCCATGTTATAGTGCGAGACTCCTGAAATGTACGAGATTTGTCTCATTTCTAAAGGGTCTGACTCTTTGCCTCCCTCTGGCGTAAGTTTGAACAGCTTTCCCCCGTAGCTCTCCAACCCGTCGTAAGGAAACTAACCAGCCCATTGTCCTTGTATCCCTTGATGCAAACATAGCCCATGGATTTTCAAAACCGTATAATCGACGAAAGTGTATACGTCGAGCTGCTCTTCGTCAATGGAACGAAGCCGACCTCTCACGCCGTGGAGGAAAGGAGCCTGCAGGCTAGGAAAGCCCTACAGTCATGCATCAAAAGGAGCATATTCCCCAAACTGGAGGCAGTAAGCAGGCTAGTGGTGCTTACTACGAGTTTAAACTGAACAGTGGACAGTCGCTTCCGTCGCCACCGAGTGAGGCGGATATTTTGCTTCTGGTAATATTACGCAACAGAGAAAGCCTATGTCGTGTTGAACACCTAAATTGTCATATGGAAAACAAATTCTGCACTAACTTTCTTTGAGAATATCTCGCTTGGCGCAAATTTGCACATGTTTCACGCTATCGATTCGGCAGTGACAGCTACGCGAAGTTGCGCGAAGTTTGGTGAGAAAATAACGGCGATTAGCTCTGCAAAGAAATGATATTTTTCTGCTGAGTAAACGACACGTAGTTGCTGCGGATTCATTGGAGGAGTTGTCTCCTCCAGGCATCGTGGTCTAGGGGCTGACGACAATTAGTTCCGGTGTTGCAGCTAGCGTGAGGAGAGTGGGCAGTCACGACCTGACGGATGACTCCGGTTTGTAGAGCTCTTTTTCCGCATAATCTTCTATAATGAACTCAAATAGGTGTTAATTTTTCACGGTTAGTTCTTCCTCGTGGAACTGGCCCCCGGTCAATAGGCCCCGCTGCCGCCGCAGCGGTCACGAGGGACCGCAGCCGCCGGCAGTTTGCAGCAACGGGCTGGCATCAGTTTCCTTCCATAATTTCCCTCCATCTGCTTGTTTTTACTTCCCCGAAAGTATTCAGTGTTTGCCTTACCTCCTCAACCGGCTGCAGATCTGCAGTCAAACCGCAACATATCCGTGCCGAAAGCATCGGCGCAACACCAGAACTGGCAGGCATCCTTCAGCAAGCCGGGTGAAGCATCCTTTGCTCGCAAGTGCAAGTTCTTTTCTTCCCCCACAAAGGTAAAATCGCTGGAAAATGGCAGTTTCTTGTAACATAGGAGAACGCCTACAGCTGGGGCGCGTCTCAACAGTAACCAGCTTCTCCGCCCGTGCGGGCTCGAAAACCTGCGACTAACTGAACATTGGAATCAGACCGCTTTTGTGAAGCTCATGTCACTCCTATGCCAAACGCTAGAAGCTCTTAGGCTTACCTCCTTAGAAGGCGTCTTCCACAGAAGAAGCTTCCGGCTGCACGTGCACACTGTCGAGGAGCTCGACGGCCCCTAGCGGTGGTCGCTATTGGCCCTTTGCAGTTTCTCAAGGGTATTTCCGGATCCCAATGTTGTGCCTTTTTTATGTGCAGGTAATATGACGCAGAACCAAGCGGGCCCCGGCTCGCCCTTGAGCGGGTCGCAGCCCAGCTCCGCCCCCAACACAGTGCGTTCTGTGACCCCTGAGGCGACGTATTCTTTGAATGCAGCAGGAAAAGTACCAGAAACGCGCCCTGCACGCCTTATTCTACGTCCCTATGACATCAACAATACAGGTTACACCACCATGCCCCCCCTTCAGTCCACTCGGTCAGAAGGCTTGCGGTTCTACAATGAGAAAGTGGCTCCTCCTTCTCCCTTTAAGCAACAGCCACAGCCTTTCTACCAAACCTCGCTCGAAGAACCGCCTTCAGAAGGACAGGCTGCCTACTACACCCCCAGCAAGCCCCTTGTTAGCACGTTGCCTGCACTGCAGGATCCACCGCAGCGCGCACCTGTGGGCTTCGGCCGCGCCACAATGCCAGTAAATGCGTACGAGTTGCCCCCACCTCTGCTGGAAAATAAGTCTCAGAAGGAGCAAAGCTTTCTACGGGGGTGGAACAGAGTAGATCATGCAGGTGCAGTCGCCACCTGTCGACTCGAGCGCGTACCTCTCCCCATGCTGGAGCGCATTCCCGGAGGACCCGGCCGCATGCGTCTTCAGGGGCCTCTGCTCAAGATCAAGATGCCCCAGGTGCCCTCTGTAGACGGAGACCTCCGTCGTTTTTGTCGGCGGATTTTGACGGCTTTCAGTGGGGCAGCTGACGACTGTCGCCGGCTCTTTTCGCCGTGCGGTCAATTGAGCCTCCCTAGGTTTGACTGCTGCGCTCCGCAAGGCCCAGTGGTGCAAGAATGCAAAAACTGTGGCTATAAAGGACACTTCTGCCCCGAGTGCGGCACAGGACAGAATGGCCGCAGTCTGGCTGCCAACGAGATGTCGTTTTCTCGTGTTCAGCCATCAAGAGGCATACTTGGTGCGTCATTGTCCCGTTTTGCACCTTCTGCCGAGCCTTCATACGGCAACAAACCGCAGGTTTTTAGTGTGTGTTTATTCTTCTGTTTTATGGCCAAAAAGTATTAGCAAAGGAAATGTTTCTGTTCTGTCTAGCCCGTTTCAGCCTCCTTGCGCAGGCGACTGTGTAAAACGAACGTCGTGTTCCCTTATTGATCGTACCTGTTGTTGTGCTCAGTGCCGCAAGAAGGGTGTTTGGAGAGATGCATGCGGTGGCACTGTTCGCTGTTTGAGGAGGTGGGGGACGCCATTGACCAGGAGATTCTGTGCGAGCGGGCGGGCAGCGTTTTCCGGGAGTGTGGAGAGTTTATAGACAACCTCGTTGCTGAGGGAATCCACGCCATTAGCTTAAATTGTGCAAGCATATGCGGCGCTATCCCTGGAAGAAGCCGAACCTTCGTCGAGGGCTACTCCATGTACGAGCCTGACCCTCAGTTCATACGCAAGGATCGGCCTACAAGTGCTACAGGTTAGTGAGCTTCTCTCATACATATTCTAAATGAGAAGGAATAGACACTTATTGCAGTTAGCCGGAAACAGATCCAGGCCAGCTGGCATGCCACCGAAATTATGCGAAGGTAAGCATCCAAAACGTTACATCAACATATATATGTATTTTTCCGTTCAGGGAACGCCTGTGTGGACCAGGTCAACGCCTTCCTCGATGCTTGTTTAGCTGAACGCTCCAAATACAAACCCGAGTTGCTTCCTCCTCCCATCCCAGACACGCAGAAAACCGGCAACTGGTTTATTGACTCCACAAACGCTGCACTAGACTATTGCCTACAAGACGTAAGTCTCTACTGGTTTTATGCATCGATCTACCTTGAAAGTCCTTGTTGACAGGGAGGATGCACCTTAATGTTTGCTCGTCGTATTCACACAAAGATACCCTCGCGCATCCCTAGACAATTGCTGTGCCGCCTGACCGTGATATAAGGGGTACAGCGCACCCTCAGCGACGTCCTCCGCAGTTCAGATGCCTTTCCTTTTGCCCGAAAGGTACTTGATCAACATCCCTTTTTTTGCATGTGACGCCTGCAGCGCACACCCCCGCCGCTACCGCCACCCCGCAAGAAGGTCTGCCCCTTGGAAATGCTCGTCCCTCCTTGCTGCCGCGAACGACCGCCAGTCGTGGTGCCTCCTCCGAAACAGGGTATGTTGTTGGAGCTCTAGTGTTACTTTGAACAAGCGCGAATAACACAGGAAGATTAACTTGCCTTGAGCACCCTACTAAGGGGCACTAAGCACACAGAAGTCGTATTACATTTAAAGCGGGCAAGCGGAAGTGTGGAGATATGATCATTTATATTCCCTCATAATTCCTTGTTTGTCTGGATCTGCTGCAGCAATGTGCCCGCTTTTGGAACGGTGCATGGGCCGAGACCGCGACTGTCCTCACTGCCACCAGCCTATCCGTTCCTCCGGAGGCACATGTGAGTCTTTTCGCTCCCCTCAGGTGTATTTACTGCAAGCATCCTAGCGGCAACGCATGCTGCAAAAGCGTTGTGCCCCAGAGCAGTAATGTTTGCTTCTCTCCTATATGCTCTAGCTATTGGGTCTACAACCGCTTTTTTACATTTGTATGCAATACAGAAGTATGGTCCAAAACTCGAAGTGCTTGATTTTAGCAGCTTCTACTACAATTTCTGCCTGTAAATGCGTGTGCGGCCCCCGGTGCTTTCCTGTTTGTGCCTTCCCGCAATAGGTCCCAAGGAGCAAATTGGTGGATGCCAGATCCAGTTCTGCCCCGTTCGTGAGCCTGAAATTACCGTCGTTCCCACTGGACCATCCCTAGTGTACCCTTATAGCGAAGAAGGTGAGAGAACAACACGTTCTTGCGAACTCCCATTACCCATCCCAGCCAACCCCTATACAGTGACACGATGCAACTGCAAAGGCATTTCCCTGCCATCGAGAACTTTACAGTTGAATGTGTTGCTTAGCCTCTATGCAACGCATTCAATTGTAAACTTCCTGAAGGTGCTCACTCAACGTGGTTTGCCCCTCCGTCACTGCTCCCGTCGTGTCTTTTTGCACATTTCTATTTCTGTGTCCATCTATGTTTTTCATCGTGCTCCTTACACTTCATTGCCTGCATTTGTGCATTTTCCCACTGCTTTGCTATTTTGCGTACTTATTTGCCTGCAGCATTCCAAGTGCGCGACCGGTCAGGTTTGGTGGCGATGTTGGACGATCATGCGGAAGGAGTGCCACTCCCCCACAAGCTTGTCGTCGCCGAGCCAGTAATGTAAGACAGTCCGGCATTTCGATTGCCCTTCTGTATGCACATGCTCGCAACCATGTTGTCGAGTTCCCACGAAGCCGACGGGCAACTGCTCTTTTTAGCCGTTCATGACTTCGCCTGTCTCGTATCTCGTGGTCTTTGGTCGCATTCGAGATTCGATTATGCACAAAGTGCTCAAACGAGCGAACAGGCATACCGTTGGTCCGTCGTTTTGCTGCATACCACCCCAACTGCGCATCTATTCACTGATTTACTGCTCTCTGGCCTGCTGGGTCGCTCTCGTGAAATACCACCTATTTTAGCATGAACGTCTAGCTCAGCAGTCAATATACGCATATGAAAGCACTTTATTCGTTTATAATTTATTGCAAAAATGCATTGATTGACTTATACGTACTTACTACTTATTGATCCCGATCAACATGCCATACAGGACAGGCCATATATTGCTTTCACTCTATACAAGTAAAAGAAAAAAACGCGAGGGAAAGATTCGGTCTCCACCTGCAGCATGATTGGAAACAAATCGGTCATGGTAGGTCCCTCAGACTTAAAACACGTGGCTGAGGCCACCAACGGGCTAGAGCCCCTCTAGCACAGGCACTGTATGGAGACGTCAGCTGCAGAAGCAGCAGACCGCCAAGGCCCTTATGCTCGGGATGTTCTGATAAGCAATACTCAAAAGATCCCTCGCATGCGGGTACGATAGTGGCTCAGCACCCAGGCTGCAAATGTGACAGAAGGAAAGTGAAAAACTCAGCAGAAAGGGCTGCTGCTTCCCAGCAGTTAAGAGTTGGTTAAATAAGGAACACACAAACGTGTGGCGGAGGTGAGGCAATTCTATGTTGTCTGGACAATGGCGAGTCCTGACCTGTTACATGAAGTCAAAGTCTACAAACTCCTCCTTTGGCGCAGTTGTAATGAACAACCAGCACAAAAGAGAGGCAACTGCCACGATCAAAGATATTACCTTCAATGCAGGACGGTGGAACCCCAAGGTCTCACCCGCTGTTCCCTTGCAAGCCTTGGCGAAGGGAAGCCCTCCCGTTCGCGCGTGTGTAGCCCTGCCAGTGTCTGGCTCACGCTGTTGCACACCTCCCACACTAGAGTGCGCATTAGTTGAATTCCTGGTAGAATAGCGCGGTTGACTCTGGTGCTGCTGCTTTTGCTGCTGTGGCCGTTGCTGCTGAGCTGTGGACCCCATACTAATGCGTCTGAGCCCGCTCTGTAGCTTTGAAGTGTCCGCGCTGCCTCCCCTGTAGGCAGGGCCTGCCAATACCTCCTCAAAAGCTTTCCTGAACTGGGAAGCGCTCCATGTATCGTACGAAGTGTTGAGCAGGCGGAAAAGACAGACAATCAACACCACAATGAACCGCAAGCAAGACTTCAGACTGCCCGCCAGCTTCCAGAAGCCTTCATAAGCCCTACACTCTGATGGTGCTGCTGCCATTCCAAAGGCAGAAACGGCCACGCCAGGTCTCTTTTCACTCTGAGGAGCTGAACTCATACAGCCCAACGTCTCCACACGCCTAATGGAAATGCCCCCAGTGCTTGGCTCCTGGGGCTGGGGAGGCCAAGGCCAAGGCCGTGGCACCACCTGCTGCTGTTCCGACTGCTGCGCCGGTTGCTGCTGCTGCGGTTCCTGTTGCCGCGGATGATGCTGCTGCTGCAGGGGTTCCGGCTGAGGGGACTGCTGATGCTGATGCTGGCCAATAGCTTGACCCGTTAAAGTTGAGGGCCCCTGCATGTGTTGGTGACGCTTCACCATTGTGAGAGATTCGATCAGGCCCTTCGGGATTTCTGGGAGGTGTGACTGACTTTCTGTACTGCCCTGCAGTGGTGCAGCAGTCGAACCACAACAGGGAACACAGGCAGTATTGGTTTGGGAGGAGGTCTCTGTGTAGCAGCAGAGGCCTGTCCTTTCAAATGAAGCTGTTAACTGTGAAAGCTCCTGCTGGTCGGAGGCATCAAGCTGCAGAGACCCGTCATCAGCTTCTACCATATCAGCATGTGCATTCCCAGCGCTCGTAAGCGGGTCACGAACAGTCCAGCTGCTGCTCAAACACCCTTGTATTTTTTGCTGCTGCTGCTGCTGCTGCTGTTGCTGCTTCTGCTGCTGCCGTGGTATCGGCAGAGAACTTCTGTGACCGTTCTCAAGCTGCCAGGAATTGGTCGAAACGCCCGCCAAAGACCCTTCATGCTGACGGAGGCCACCGTTAGAAATGGTCGACAGAGGTTGCTGAAGTTGTAGGCCCCTAGAAACCGAAGGGGCCCGGCATGGGGGTAAAGGAGGGGCGTGGCGGACGGAGGCAACCCGTGTCGTTGTATGCAATGGAAGGGTAGCAACACGTGGAACAAGAGTTCTGCATGGGCTTTGCCCGCGTCGCCGGGAAGCAGCCGGGGAATAATTTGATGGCGCAGGGATCTGATGAGGTCGTTCGCTCCCCATGCCGTCTTCTTCGAGTCCTGCATTCCTGCTGCGGCGGCGCGAGCTGCTGGTTGCCTTCATGTAGTTTCGCTCGGCGCGCCCATGAGGCTGGCCGGCGAGACTTGATGTGGAGCGGCTGACTGAGGGGGAGCGGGGAGTGTGTGTTCGAAGGTTTCTGACAAAGTGCTGAGTTTGTTGGTCCGTTCCGGATGCACTGGGACGACGCACGGGAGCTGTGTCGTCGAAAATGGTACTGGTGCGCTGCTTTGCAGCGATGCTTTGGGCCAGGTCCCCCGCGGGCAGTGAACGCAACGGCATTTTGAAATAAAGCAGAAGGGGGCTCACTAGCGTTGCGGATACCCATAAACAGATTCAGTCTAACGGGACGTCGCTGGCAGCTCAGATGGCGCTAAACTTTAGTGCTGTGGTAACTTTGAGAAAACGAAACACGGAAGCTGGGAGACACAACGCGCAGAATAGAAACGCTCAAGGCAGCGCTGACAATTCCCGTAACCNGCGAAGTAGGCTTGAGACCTAGTGCTAGCGTGTAAAAGAGGGCAAATTGTGTCCTAGACCACTGGGACGCAGAACGAAGTGAGGAAAATGGAGGAGAGAGTGCGGAGAGACGCCTCGGCGAGGCATCTTCCCGCCTCTACGCAAAAACACAAAGTATGAGAAGTTGTGGAAACTCCAAGCTTCCAAGTAAAAGCGATTTTCCTGGAGAACCACCTGTTTTTTGAATGGGGCTTTGATCCTTGGGCCGTAGAGGGTGGGGTTGTCCACGGTGTTATTCTATGTCTTGCCCGCTGTAGCAGAGTATACCTAAAAATGCTAGTTAATAAATTTAACGCCATTACATAATCATTTTCACGATGCAGTTTCTATGTCCAGCGGCCATGTCGTCCCAGGTTTCCGTGGCACAGTGTGCAGGCGCATTGGTGCCACCAACGCGATTGTGCAAAAAAAGAACTTTCACAGGAGTCGTACTAAAACTTCACATGGTTTAGGAATTGTTGGAGGTAAAGGGTACAAAACCGGCGGATGGATCGGCAAATTTGCAAGGAGGCTTCTTTCGGGTAGTACACGGCTACCTCATAGCTGTGAGCAGGTTCAGCATGCTCTGTCGTTGGTGGTACGTACATTTCTACTTGCGCGCAGACTTGCTTCTAAGGGCCAAACGTTTAACAATTGCATACGGTGTTAGTTGATGCACCAAAAAGAGGTTGGGCACCCACCAACTTCCACGCGGTTGCCCTGTGGAGTTAGCTGCAGAGATCCTTGCTGAACTCATGAGAGGCCACTTCCTCTAAGCAGGAGGCCAGGTATCTCTACTAGTGTGACAATGATGCCTGGAGACTGGAGGTTGTGGTGGCTGCTTTTGGTAGGAGTCTTGCCTCCGTTGCAGCTCATGACGGCCCTCGAATCAGATCAAGGACGGTCGCATTGCCCTCTAAGTATGACGGTCTAGGCATCCCACCCAGTAGCACTTCATTTTGCATCTATTCAGGGTAGTCCCCATTTGAGATGACCCCGAATCTCCACCGCACTCGTGCCTTGACGCTTCCGGTCGCTACCAGCTCATATTTTCGTTGCAGTAATGTGAGGATCCAAATCCAGAGGCACGCAAAGATTGCCCTAGCGGAGAAGTCAACCAAGCCGCTGAGTGTTCCTGCAGCGGCCAGATGGGGTCGGCCGTATCAGCACCAAATATATGCAGCATCCGGAAACTCCTGTTGACAGGTTTTCTCCATACTTTCCCGTTAATTCCTACTATGTTCCCTCCTGCGAACGCCTCACAGGATTACCCTTTTGTCATCAATTCAGCCTTCGTTTTTAAGACATCCCGAAAGATGAGGGCATGCTGTGTCTGGGTAGGGGGGCCGATGTAGCATGGCCTATCCGGAAAGTACATCATGGGCTGTCTGAGATTGGTACATGCGATTCTATTTGCCTGACAGTTGGATACTGCGGGCCAAGCGATACTAACATACTAACTTTCTACTGCGTTCTGTGCGCATAGAGGGGAGGTCTTAGATAGGCTCGTGTGTGGGGTAGCCTGGTCACAGTCGTAGCCAGCTCATCTGCAGCGCTCCATCGGCCGCTTCTCCTCTTTACCAACTCCAGGCGGTTGTACCTCTGAACTCAGGAACCCTGAAAACTGGAATATATTTTGGTAGCTTGACCAATTACACTTAATTACGGTCCGCTGCTAAAGTATAAGACTCGTGCTGTCTTGTGGCAGCCGCCGAGAGGGAAAAGCCCCCTTCATCAGACGCTCCAGGGACTTCTGGTTAGCCATTTTCGCCCACAAAAAATCTACCATCAAATAATATAGGGTGTAAGACAGCTAAAATCTGGTAGTACAGTGCTGCAACAGTCTCTGCCCCGACCAGCCTGCGCAGAGACGCATCCACTACAGACGTGCATAGGGAACACGGACGTCACCGATAACAATTTGCGTCCACACACGCACAGTTTAGTTGTGTATTGGACACCTGGAACAGCAAAACTTGCACATCGTTTGTACGCAGGCAGGCCTCGTCTCTGTCACGAGATTTAGTGCAACGGTTCTTCTCCATAGCGCTGGGACGCCAGTCAGGGAAGACGGCACACCTAAAGGGCCAACAAATTACTTGCTGGCTTGTTTTTAATATTGACCTTTACGATTAATGGTTTAAATGAAGAGGAGGCATTCCTTGCACTGCGTCATATTGCTGGTCTCTCGCACGCCCGGTTTTAGTTTAGCAAGGCACAGGGGAAGCAAAGTGTCTGTCTACACGCCGGTTGCTGGCGTGCGAAGCAGAGGAAGTCAGCAACAGATTCTGCAGCGCCTTGCATCAGAAATGTCTCCAAAGTGATTTAAGTATATGCTGTGTTAGAAGGAAGTATTCTAGCGGCATTTTCCTTACGTTCTCCTTCCTCCCGGTGGGTGTCCGGCTACGATCAAAGGTCAGAGCTGGGGACGGCGCATGCGCAGGACTTCCCTTTTGAACTGCTGCAACTTCCCAACCTCTTGCATCATTGCTGGGGCAACTGTTTTTGTTGTTGATTCTTCCTGCTGTCCAGTATTGTACGCTGGAACGCGAACTCTCACAACCCATGTGTTGAGGTCTCGGGGATGCATGTGGCGCAGCTGAAAGTTTCGTTATGCCGGAGATCTGAAGACAAGAGTTGGTATTGGGTGAGTTCTCAAACACGTGACAATTGTGATCCAACAGTCTTTGGGCTTCTTCGCGGAAGGTTAGTCCGAGCGTCGCTGATATTTAGCGTGGTCGAGGCTGGCTGACACCGTGTACGGGGTAAATTGAGATATACCACCTTCTCTTTTTATGAGCTGCGTGCGAGAGCTAGGCTGTTTTGTGGAACACGTTGTTTTTTTATCATCGAGAATGTCAATACTGCCGGTTCAAGGGGAGGTTGGTGCAGGCGTGGCCTCGTATCTTCTCCAGCTCTGCCTCGTGTTAACCCTGTTGCCAGCTGCTTTTACGGCTGAGGGATCGTCTACGCCGAGCCCTCCTGATACGGAGGGGGATGAAACTCAACAATTACAGTCAAAACCGCGGGTGCCTCACAGCAACACCTTTCAAGTAGTGGAAGATATAGAAGGTATGGATGGGGAACTCAGTGCAGAGTGGTTGAGCATGCATGCTCACTTGCCTTTGCTTAAGCTTGCACTGCCCGCCACCTACATGAGTACATTGACGGATGTCAACGCGCCAAAATACGTGGGCAAAGTCGAGGCACAGGACTTGGGCGTTGTGGACCAGCTCATCGACGGAATCCGCCTTCTTGACGTCCGACTATGGAGGGATGAAACGGCGACAGATCCGACGGAAGCCTGGTTTACAGGTGTGTATACGCAAAAGGAAGCACTCAACACTGTGTACTGCAGCTCGTGCAAAGCCTTAGTTCACCGGGTCCTCTTCCGGAAAGTAGACCATAGGATCTAGGCATTAGTCAACTTTCCTCAGTGAGCTTCTGAACGAGCGCCGCGTGCAGTGGTTGCGCTGTTGTGGGGTGTCTGCAGAGGTGCCATGGAGGCTTTTTGAAGATGGCGAACTGCTTAGAGGTGTAGAGAATGGCAAATCCCCAGCATCTTTCGCTCAGTCAGAACTCGAGGCCCTTGAGGTTCACAGCCGAACTGGTCTGGTGGAGGGCCTGTTCAAACCAGTCCTGCAATTCTTACGCAAGTCTCCCAGTGAAGTGGTCGTTGTCGTGTTCTCAGCAGTAAATGGAAACACACACACTCAACGCAATATGATTGCGAAGGGTTCAGAGCTCGCAGAGTCGCTCGCCCATGCTGATGAGCAACTGAGGACGTTCTTGCAAAGCGGGCAGCCGTACAGTGATAACGCACACGAGGCGAAATCCCCTGTTTCTACTGAGTCCCCTGCTGTGGTCCGAGTTGGGGTACACTCAGCCTATAAGAGTCCCTGGCTTGACAGCTTTGTAAAGAAGGGTGTATCGTTCAGCCATTTCGCGGAAATCACTGATCTTATCGACACCCACTGGGGTCCATTGTTGCCGCACCACTTCGATATGTTTGTGGACGCAAACAACGAAAACAAGAGCATGAGGGACAGTGTCACGGATGCTGAATCCTTCAGGGAGTGGCAGCGTAGCCAGGGCGCCTCGCTCCTTGGGAGGCCTATATCAGAGTTGCTTGACGCTAAAGTGCGGCTTATTTTGCTTCTTGATGATCCATTGCTTGCGTGGTTCATCACCACTAGGTCGCGCTCGCAGGTGGTAGCACTTGTGAAGGCGGATCACATATATGACGTCTCTTATATGTCCGAGTCCCATTTTGCTCCGTGCGCCTCCCCACACACTGCGCGAACCGGTGGGCCACTATGAAGAGTCAACCGTGATGATGCGCAGGTTGCCTCGTCACATTGCATAGCGATATGTGGCAAGCAGCAGGCGGGCAGCAGGGATATGTAGGTATTTCGTTGGTTGCGTGTGATGTTACCTTCCAGGGGGGTCTTTGAAGAGTCGCGACAGCAGCTGGCCATCTTGCCGTAGTTGGTGCGCCAGCGTTGGTTCCAAGGAGTGTACGTCGTGGTCGTGGAGGCCAAGCGATACGGATCAGAGAGCGCAGCCTGCGAGGAGTCGTCGGGAAGGTGATCTCAGCAGCATTTGGGAAGAGAGAGCGGACGAAGAGATGGGGAAGTGTGAACTCTATACTAGGGCACCGGTTGAACTGTCGTTTGAAGCCATCACCCAAGGAATGGATTGCCCGAATGACGACCTTATGACTTCGGATCTCCCATGGGACAACATGGCCGTTATGGGGGACTTGCTGCTCTCCGTTTTGCCTGTGGTTAAGATCTCGGCGAATTCTCGCCGCCGCAACATGCGTGGAATGGGGACTGTAAGCTTTGGATTCGATTCCCGAGTGTCTATGCTCACCACAGGGTCCGCAAGCGGGCACGAAGAGAAGTATGGCATTTCACAGAAGCTAATTCGCATCTTGTTCGCCCCACCAACACCGCAGGTTCGCATAGAGGCATCGCAGAGGGCTGCTTACAGCAGCAGGGGCGATGCTGCGAGGAGATTCAATGCCTCGCTTGCGGACTTCGTCCTAGCGCTGCTGTTGAGGTATCACATCTTGGAAAGGAACCATGTTCCGAGTAGGCCTGTTAATGTCATTCAGATAGCTAAATACCGCCGGATAAGAAGTCGGTTGGAACCTTTCGCGTCCGCCAGTTTCTTCCAGCACATGACAATCCTCAACCCCTCTGCGGCTATTAACCCCCACCTCTTGGCATTTCCGGTAAGCCGCTTACAGCATCTGTGTGTGGTGGCAGTCTAGCTCTATCTTCGCTTCTGTGCACAGATGGACACTAGGGAGCTGCTGCAGTAGTGTTCGGATGTGCTCGGATCTGCTGCAGGAGGATACCTACGGAGTTTCGCTGAAGGATTCAAGGGTCGCAACAACTATCCAGAGTTTCCCACCACCGCATGGCGGAGCGTCCGTGACGATGTGGTTGTGCTTCATCGGAATAGTAACTGCGATCTCGTTGTGCGTCTTTATTTCTACGCTTTGGTGCACCTGTCATCCGAGCGGCTTCTTGAGGAAGGTTTGCCACCGCCGAGGGGCGGGACCCTCGGTAGCTTCGGGAGGCGTGGTCAGCTTATCAAACGTTTCGTCATCTGGTACCGCTGCGTAAGCCCGCATGGGTCTTGCCTCTGTCCAGTAGGACGAATTGCTCGTTGATGGTTTTTCATATGCATCCTGAGGATCGCATGGCCGTCTGATAAGCATCAACGCAATGCATCTGGGCAGCGTCACTGCTGATAGGCGGCTATGTAGGCGCCACCAGCGATTTTTTTTTAATGCCGTGATGAGAAAATGCATATGGTGGAGAGCTCCAGGATGTGGTGCGTGCATCGCATGCAAACATCGTATTTGGGTTATCACACCGCTCAAACAAGAAAGCACAAACCGGCGCGGGAGCAGGAAGCCCCTATGCGTGAATTCAATCATCACGTTTGCGAGAACGCAGTGGTTTGGCCTCACGACTGCTTGCGTTCGGCACGAACGTGAGGGTACGCGCATCTGCAGAAGAACGGGGGACTCCAGCATCCATACCACACGCTCGTCTTGACAAGGCAAACTTTGTCCTTTGCTGGCCTTCCAAGCGATACCGAGCAGTGGAATTGACGGGGCTTTTGAATGGGGATAAACAGCATGAAGGCTACAACAGGTGGTCAACTCCCGATGTACCATGTTGGTTGCATAACGAAACAGACACCCTGGCTGCTGTGTTGTACAGAAGGCCACGTTGTCGAGGTGTCAGATACCTTCCAAGACTTTGTTGATGTAGTCAAGCAGCTATGGGAAATGCAGGGTTCTCTGTGCAGAACAGAGTTACCGCTGCGTCTGGGGCTGCTGCTGAACTACACGAGCAGCCGGGAATGCCTCATCTACAGAGGGCAGGTCTCAGCTGAAACTGATTGTTCGTGTGCTCCCAAATGAGAAATGTACATTGCTGCGACCGCTTCGGGCAGCTTTCAAGCCTACAGAAACGAGTCAAGTTCGGAAATGTTTTACCAGGGTGGAGGGCGTTTGTTCAGCTGGCCCAGCTAACATCACTTTTCGACGTAAGATTCATGATAGCACGTGTCGCTTCTCCCTAGAAGCGAGTGGAGTGCAGCAGACAGAAGGAAATGTTCAAGTTCTAACCTGAGCTCCCTTAGTTCAGACGGCTTAAATACTTGTTGTAGGGGTGTGTAGACAAGCAAATCTGTATATGGGTGGATACGACAATGCAACGAGCTAATAGCCACAATGTATTTATCACCTATCAGTTTAGGAGTGAAACAGTTGGGTCGCTCAGCTTAGGCGCCGTTACGGGCTCGTCGGCGATGCATGCAGAGGGGGGGTCGCAAATTCTTATATTTTGGGTTCAAGGCGCTGCGCTTTCCGTGTNGTGTCTGTGACGAAATGCAGTTCGGCGCATGACGTCGTGGGTTTTAAAGTTGCTGGCATTTCCTGACTGGTATTCTTTCCTGATTCCTTGAGAAGGGTTAATAGGGCTCCTTGCATGTAATTTTGATTAGACGGCCATTTGCCCTAGTTCTCTAGGCTGTGAAACGCTGCGCCACTGCTCAGTGATTGCCAGGCTTCGGGATGAAAGGGGTATAGAGGCTCCTACAGAGAGCCACCACCTCTTTTCTGTGGAGCACAGAATAAGCACAAGCAACAATTAAGAGCACTTGAGGCAGAGCAGCATGGAAGGATACCCTCTACGCCGTTGAAACCCTAAAACCCAGTCGCATCGACGGGTCAGAGATGCTGGTAGGAACCCTGAAAAGCAACACGTAAGTGGAAAATCCTTGTTCGAACGAACCCATTATTAGTTCTAGCCATGTGTATTAGGAGACACGTGGATATAAGTGCACGAGCAGAGCAGGTCACCTCATTTGTTTTTGCAGCTGCCCCACAGTATTTTCCCGTTTGAACGACCCCCATAACCACATATACCGGCAGATAAATAAAAGGATGAATGCATACGGTATTGTTTGTACTGGGAGCAAGGCAACCTACGTTGCCCACTGACGGGAAGCCGACACAATTTGGAACTGTGCAGTGCACGCGGAAGTGGACACAGACACAGCGCGGCACCTGAATACGAGTTGTTAGGTAGGCACTTTCGAAATAATTTTTGGATATGATCGCCTCAGCTGGTTTTAGAGCAATTTTACGTACAGCAGCATCGTCGGAGTCAGACGCCTTGATGCTGTCCTACCTTCGCTGCTCCCGTCGCGCCTACCTTGTACCATTCGCCGGGCACCTTTGCTGAATCAATTTCTTTTGGTGGGTGTAGAAATTTGTTTAGAGAATTTCGGGTAAATATGGATCAAGCGGTGACAGCAGGTACGGCGCGGAGAAGGTTGATCTCGTGGACGCTGTGGGTCACCTTTCTCTTTGCGCTGGCTCTAAACGGTATGCGCGTCAACTGTTCAAGTAAGCAAGCAGTACCTAAGTTCTGATGAGCATAGTGCAATGTTCCTGCGCATAGTGCCACACTATCCTCGGTGCCCACCTACTTTGCACTCACCCTTCCCAAGTCAGAGTCACTCAAGGAGCGCTCAGTGTATCTTTCCGGCCATTGGCAAGAAAGCGCCTGACTAACTTCTATATAATGAAATGAGCTCTCAGCAGATGTACGGAAGGGGGGTCTATGCACTCCGCTGACAACCGTCTCGAGCGCTGCACTAGGACACCGACGCAGACAGTTGAAACGCCGACTTCCGGTCGAGAAAAATGTACAACTGTGACGATATCCTTCTTCATCTCCTCTTGAATGCCTCTTCAGGCCTGCCTCCTTGGGCGTGCGGTGGGAAGGAGGGCTTCGTGCAGCAGTGCGGCAAGTGTGTAGCCGATAGCCAATGCGAAGAGGGTCTATTTTGCTGCCCCACTTTAAGAGTTTGCGTACGCACTCGGGCAGACAGATGTCGCAAGCCATACAACGTATGCAATAGCGCCTACAGAATGCGCAGGCCTGAGTATGCCGACGAGGTGACTTGGGCACGCGAGTGCGAGGGGCCCGGCCTCCTAGAATGGATGACATGCCCTTAAGGGTAGGCAACCACAGCAACGTTCGCTACCAAAAACCACGGTTTGAAGTTATTCATTCTTGCAATTCAGGCTACCGCCAATAAGCCAAACTGTCCTATGCGGATTCCGTTCTCCCCCTGCTTTTGAAGCATTCTTAGGAATCAAGAGCAACCTCCCATGGAAAAGCATGGGTCGCCCCGGAATATCGTTCATAACTGCGTTGGTTAAGCACCACTATCATCCACAGAGTTTGTATTTTCGGCTGAATATTATGAGCTGGCTGTTGCTAACTTAATACCTCGTATTTGAGTAGAACACCTACCTATATGCTTGAGAAATGGGGACTCAACAGCAGAAATCGGGGTTTGCTCTTCCTCCAATTCAGTGAGGAAGCTCCGCAGTACCCTGTACTACCTTCCTTAGTCATTTCGAAATTCATTCCACGGAAACTTCCGCAAACAAAGTATAGTGCGCTCCACAAGTGCCAACTATTGCAGCAAGCATCCCCAAGGATGCTTCGAACTGGCCAAAAAAATGTGCAGGGAACGACAGGGCTGTCTTGAAATTTGCAGAAAGGCGTAAACTTCACCACTCTCCGCCGTACTTCCCAGTACCACCATAGCGCGATCCCGATGTCAAATAGTCCTTACCTGTCGAGCCCTGGGTCTGTCGTTTTTGGCTCTCCAGCTTGGGGCACTGCCCAATACGATGACCCAACCCACCGCAATAAGCGCAACCTCTCACGCCTCCAATTTCCTGAGTGTAAACCACGATATCGTAGACCTCTCAAAGACTATGCGCGGAAGTACGTGAAATGTGCGGACAATTCAAGAGAAACGTCGAAGCTGAGTTGCTTGAGGTCAGCACAAGGAAGCTATGAAAGTTAATTCACATACCTTAAGGTTTAACCCCCTGCTATCTAGAGCATCAAGGAATGGAGGAATCCTCTGGCCTGCCTCGATCAAAAGCGCCTTGAGATCCAGAAGGACTGTTTCTTCAGAATTCTTGTTTATAAAGGTTGTTGCTACACCCGTGCGCCCACATCGGCCTGTGCGCCCGATCCTATGTACGTAGTTTTCGATTTCCTTGGGCATATCAAAGTTAATTACATGTTGAATAGCTGGAAAGTCAAGTCCTTTTGAGGCTACGTCCGTTCCGACGAGCACGTCCTTCCTTCCCTCCCTGAACGTGACATTTTATCACATCGAAGATTCATAAGGAAGTATACCTCGGGATCTCACACCTCCAAGATTCCCCCCATCATCCATCAACCGCCCGAGAATCAGCATGTATGGAAGGCAACTGACGAAATTAGCGCACTTGAAAAGTCTAACAGCTTCACTGCGTTCTTCTTGCGCGAGACCCCCATGAATCGCAACAGCTTCAACGCCCTTTAACAGTAAATATTCCTGGATATCATCTACATCCTTTTTGTTCTCGCAGAATACCAAGGCCGGAGGCTCTGTCTTTTGCAGGCAGTGCAAGAGGTATGGAAGTTTATTTTCTTGCTTGACATATTCAACTTCTTGAATAACATCCAAGTTTGCAGCTCCTAAAGGCAGACACAGCAGGTCACTTGAATAACAGACACACAAACTGAAAATAAAGACCACCCCATCTGCAAACAGGAAGGGTGCTTGGCACATTACCGGACGCCATGCCATCAAGAAGACTAGGAGATTGAGCCGGTGCAAACTCTACCCACGGAAGGTGATTCAAATGTACTCAAGCCTGAACATGCAAGCACCCCTTCGTACCTGCTCTGCCGACGTTAACAACTATAGGATCAACCAGCGCAGACTTCGCGAACTCCTGAATTTTTCGAGGCATGGTAGCAGAGAATAAAAGAGTCTGTCTTTGGTGGCCAAAGCAATCCAGCACATTCCTAACTTCCTCTTCAAATCCCATATCCACCATTCTGCAACGCACATGGCAGGGCAGAAGGGGAGTGAGAAACGGTTGAGCCCGCCAAATTTTGCCTGGTATCTGCGGTGATCTGTATACTCATACGGACAAGTCGCACCTGTCTGCCTCATCGAATGCCAGGTAACGGCACTGGTTGAGCCCCATACGCCTCTTGTTGAGCATATCCGTTAATCTTCCAGGAGTCGCCACCACGCAGTGCACTCCGTTACGTATGAATGCGGCCTGGAAATCAGAATGCAGAGCACGCACGATGTAACTTCTGGCGCCACAGCGAGCCAATTTCAAGTCGCTGATCAAAATACCAGGGCCCTGTAGCATGCCGTATCTGCAGAACCCGACAGTCCCGTTCGTGCAGTAGGCCGGCCGTCGTGAATTTGTCTCAAGAGCAGCACAGGAGAATATAAATTGTGTGGAGGCGCTTCCCAAATGCACACGAACACAGACGCACCTGTTCTTGAGTACTAACGCCTCCAATCATACATAGAGAACGAAGCTGCGGATATCCGCCTTCGTGGAGAGCAGTTGCAAAAAAGTTTACCACGTCGGTGGTCTGGCTGGCTAACTCCCGCGAAGGGCAAACTACCAGTCCCCAAGGACCCTCTCCTGAGTAAGAAGAGCACTCTTCAGATTTGTAACAGCTTCCAGAAAGAAGAAAATTCAAATATCCAAGATAACAAACCGTTTCAGTTCTACTCGAAATACTACCAGTATAGACCGGAAGGGGTCATATTTGTATGTGCACAACATCGCACGACAGAAGAAAGAGGAAGCAGAGAGCCTGTGCTGAGGTGCACCCCCCTACAGGGTGAAGGCGCAGGAAGAGGATCCTCTGCGAGTTCTGCAAGCTTGAACTGCAGCATGCAGTACGCATATCCGCTCAGGATGCAGCAGGCGCTCAGTACACAAACGACGTCCACGTTCAACTGCGTGGAATATCCTAGTAATCTTACCAGCGACGTAAGGGGAGCGCATTTCTGATTCTAGAGCCCCCATAAGCATAGGCAGAGTGAACACGAGGGTCTTCCCGCTACCCGTGAAGGCGATGCCGATCAAATCCCGTCCCTGCAGCAGTGCTGGGATGCCCTGCAGTTTCATAATGCAGCACGACGACAACTGCGGGGTCCATGGAGCGCACCATGTATATTCCGCTCCTTGTAATATCTTTCTAGACACAAATGGGCATTTATCGTCAAACAGAATACGAGTGTAAAGGCTTCCTACTGCCCAAAGTCTGCGCACTCAGCCTTCGCTAGGCAATCAACCGCTTTACCTGCATCTGAATCTGGGTGGGTGCTGTAATGTTCTTCTTTTTTAACGCATCTAAAATAGGCTGGGGAAAACGCATGTCTTTGAAATTGCGGAACGGCGGTGGCACATCCGTCCCATTTACGTCAACAAAGAAGCGCTCCCGGACCTCGTTTGCCTCTGCTTCCGTCATCTCACGGTATTTAGCAGGCATCGTCCAAGAAGTGGCCATTCGCTTGGAATAGACAATACCCTTCGCACGCTCCCGGACGCCTTGCAAAGGTGCCCCCAGTGATTTCGACACCTAAGGGGAAGGGAAGCAAGCAATTCCTTCAAAGCATGAATCTGCTGTTTAACCAAGAACGGCAAAGCATCAATCTATGCATCTTTGCGCGGCACAGTTTTGGTGGGCTAATTGCGGTACAAATATCTCCCCCGCACCTGTTCCAGGATGCGCTGTTCTTCCTCTTCGATTTCTTGCACAACATCCTTTTTGTTCTTTTCTGCCTCCTGCCGCAGCTTGCGGCTTGTCGCGAGGAGCGTTTTCCTGAAGTCTAGACGGGCCTTTGATATCGCTGCAAAGAGCAAGATACCCCCTATTTCATAGATGGTTTGTAGCACCCCAAAATCCCGTTAATAATCTCGGCAAAAAGGGGCACTAAAGACCACTCCTGACCGTTGCCCTGTGCCAGTACTTACCTGCTTCCTTCTGCTTCGCTTCTTTCTGCTTAGTTTCTTCATCTTTGTCAGAATCGTTTACACCTGGTGCCCCTTCCTCTGTCTCCAAATGTGCGCTGAGCGCCTGCAATTGTTTTTTCAGAAGCTGCTCGCGTATGGCTTTCCGCTTCTTAAGTGGAACATATTCCTTGGCGTCCGCAGCCTCAGTTTCCTCCAATAGCTTCTCCAGCAAGGAAGCTTCCTCATCTGTTTGAGTTCGCGTCCGCTTGATGGGGCCTGCTTTAACGCCAGAGGCCCCAGCCCGTCGTGCATCAACGAGGTCTGAAGCGGAGGGCAGAGCATCTGCGCTGCCCGCGCTGCCTCCAAGAGGAGATGTCGACGATGCCGGGGCCCGCGAATCACTGCAGTGATCCTCTACGAGCCCCATCGCAAGAGGCAACGCCAGGGAGTGGAAACAGTTGTACCCCTAATTGCTTTGCTGTGAAGGAAGTGGAAGCTAGGCTTGAACGGAGGAACAGACAACCAGGAACTACGATTACTGCATCGTCGTGCATGCGGTGCCGGTTGGATTCCTTTTGTAGTGAACGACGCTCACAGTCGCAGTCACCACTACATTTGGACCCGTTGAATACCTATTTGGGTGCACACTCGATTTATGCGCGCTACACTCAACGCCTAACTGTTATATTGTCAAAAAGCCGTCCCGTTACATCCCAGTCGAATCATCCTGAAAGGGATAGGGAGTAGTGAGGACGATTTTCCCGATGCTGACCCCTCGCGGAGGAATGTCTCGACTGCCGTGGCAGTCGTTCGGTCAGCCCCAGATCCTGGCAGCTGCAGAGCACTCTTGGCCTGCCAATTTTATCTCCTGTGTAATCTGGCTTTGTTTTTTTCTAATAGTGAATTACATGTGTTCTTTCCACCGAACGGACCTGTAGGGGTCAAGATTGAGTACCATCGTAGTGCTTGCGTACCAACCCCCGCTGGCCTTCCCGAGTTTCTGTGGCAGCCTCATTTTTTGAAATTCTACCAGTATCGGCCCCATTTGCCTTTTTTGTCGTTCTCTAGCGACCCCTCTTGCAAGTTCCCCGCAGCTCATGACTGGTTCGGCTCCCTGCCTTCCTCCTGTTGCCTTCTCCCGCAAGGGCTGTGCCGGCTGTGTTGTGCTGTGCTCTTCTGCTGGTCACCCTGGTGTGCCTTGGCAGGTGTAGGCTACCCTTCCCGGAGTCCTCTTCGGCTTCGGAACATCTTAATGGCTTCTAGTCCCTTGTCGATTCCCTTCACCACCGCGCACGCTATCGGTGCAGCCGTGCGTTCACATGTGCGGCTCCCATTTCCCGATTCCTGTGTGTGAGTGCCCTTTTGCTCGTCCCAGGCCCCTTTCTAGGTAGCCTCCGCGTATGTCTGCGAGCATCTCTTCAGGGGCTTATCTTATTGCCTGTAGCATGAGTTAGCGCAGAGTTAGCTCAGGAGCCTATCGACGGCTTTGGCATGCTGCGCGTAAGCGCCTGCAANCTGCAAACGTTATACAAGTTCGTTACGAGGCAAGGCATGCAGCAAAGGAAGCTTCCCTGAAGCTTCCTTTCGTGCACGGGTGGGGCTGGCTTGCTCTGCCAGCCGCAGCGGGGTGCGCTGCAACCCCATTTCTGGCTGCCTCCTCCCCGTGACACCCTGGCCCGGCGCTCAACGCCCAGGATGCCTAGGTACCGCGGAAGGAGGTCAGCTGCTTTGGGGGAACTCTTCCTTTAAGTCTTTGCCTTCATTGCGGCTCGCCTCTGGTCAGATAAAGGCCAGAGAACTAGAGTTACATTGCCAGTTTACCTGTAACTGCCCTGGTTCTGCTCGGAACTAGTTTCTGCTTTCTGCTTGTTCATTGCTACCGCTACACTTATTCATTTCATTCCACTAATGAGGGTGCTTATAGGCTGAGGTTGATTGTCTAGTTGGCAGTTTCCTTGTGTAGGATCATTAACGTAGTTCTTGCCTTACCCGCGCTGAACTGTCTGCTTGAATGTCACTCACGCAAGATGTGCGTTAATTAACTGTAACTGTTGTGCGACCAGTGTTTCAGGGGAATTATCTACCTTTTTCCTCCACCGAGGACTCAACTAATGCATATATTGCCAATATTTCCCTTCCCACTGGCTGGGGACGCTAATAGGAGTACGAACGACCTCAGATGAAGACTGATTGCAGGACAGCGATTCGCCACCCCGCCTCTTTGCTCTCAAATGTACTTTTATTCTCCTATGTATGTATTACCAGGGGTTTAGTGGCACTCACAGCCTAGAGTACACCTGTATGCCCATTGGGCTCGGGAGTGCCGAAGTGCAGCACCACGATATTTGGTGGCCAGTAAATGAGGAATGGTTATGTGCGTAGCAGATGTGTTAATGTTCAGCCGGTGCGTGTAGGAGTACCTCCAGCACTTGCGGCGTGCACTGCGACGGCTTATGAAAGCCCGAAAATGTTCACGTTTTATGCACACAATCAGTTTCTTGGGGTTTCCTACCTGCCAGCCGGAGTTGAACGAAATTTGGCGGAGATTGACGTAATTTGGACGTGGCCGCTACCCCTATAGACACCTACGCGCTTTCAGAAGCTCTTATGTCGCGCTTCGTACTACCGCAACTTTACACCATGATTCAAGCGCACTGCCATCCCTCTAACGGATCCACTTGAGGAAGACAAGCAGCGTATTTGCGCAGAGAATGAAGACGCAACAGCCAGACGCCTCATCAAACACCTGGCATCGTCTCGAGTACTCGAGTTCGCTGATTTCAACAAACCATTGTTCCTAACGATGGATGCCTGCGACACAGCAGTCTCAGCAAACCAAAGACTAGAAAAAACACCAACTAATCGCCTGCTACCCACATAGTTTCACGAGGATGCAGCACGCGTATCCGGTGCATCGGAAGGAGCTCTACGCGGCTTGGGGGGACGTAAAAACGTGTCGAGGTTATCTTTGTGGCGGGCGCTTTACTATCCAAAACGATAGTCAATCTTCGTCAGATGCACCAGGGATAGTCAAGAATGCGCGACGGCTCAACCAGTGCAACATAGATGGCTACTTCTTGTGGTAACATATTAGACGTTTTCGCTCCACATAGCGCGGAGTTTTTGCACAGAATGTACGATCGTGCTTGAGCAGGTCATGGGGGGGTCAACGCAAAAGCGGAGCGAGTTGCCACCTGTTGGTGGGCTAGGATGCACCCCAAAACCGAAGGTTATATCCTCGTTTCTCCTGATTGTAAGAAGCAAAAGCAGGGGAACATCCTGCGACCGAGGCTCACGCAGTCACCGATTCCTGAACGGATATGGGCAGATATCTCAATGGACTTCATACTGGTTTCACCATCAGCAAGAGGATGCGGTAGTATCTACATCTTCGTGGACAGATTCAGTACGTACGCACACTTCTTCCCTTTTACAGCAATTGGAATGGCATTTATTCATCAGACGCGCCTGGAAGCTCCACAGCATTCTAAAGAGCATCATTAGTAAGAGGGGCACGAAATTCGTCGGCGCCTTCTGGCGCGAATTGATGAAGCGTCTGTGTGTATCGACCACAGCATGGCCACCGCTAAATATCACGCGACAGGCGATACTGAACGAGCAAAGCTCAGTGCGGTTCTTTATGTACGGCCCTACACACAACAAATTGCACCTAAGTGGCCTGATTTCCCGCATTCTGCGGAATTTATTTACTATACACCAGTGCACTCTTCCTCCCGTTGCTCGCCGCCATCTCTGGTGTACACCCCAGCACTGTCTTCTAACCCAACGTTGGAGCTGGCTGTTCGGACGTGCGATCACTCACTTTATGGATGTTTAGATATATTCAGCTAGATACTGGTGCAATCGACAGGATTCTTCCACGTAAAATGGGAAATCTAGTTTGCTGCTTTTGGCTAGTTTTCAACCGCTTCCGTGTTAAACTCCCCTTCGGAAGGGCCAGTCGATGGGGAGTTTGGGGCCTTAGAAATCACATGGCCCTCGAAGCTTGATCCCACTCACGTCAGTAGATGCACCGGTCACTGCCAGCAGCTCTGCATCTTGTGCCCCCAACGACAACACAAACGCAGACGAAAAACACAATTGTGAGGCCTAGTAGGGATCCAACTTCCCTCACACGATGGGGTGATGTGAATCCACAACACTAGAGGTACTGCGGGCCCAGTAAGCTGATGTATGGGGACCTTAGTCCCTCACATGCTATGCTGAGATCTGTTCAAGATAACGTAAAGTATTTCTCTTTCGTATAAATATTTGCAGTTTACATACCATTAGGTTGTATCTCTAAAGGTCTACTGTGGGGCGCATCCATATAAGCCCACAGCTGAGTATGGCGGACTGGCAAGCATCAGCTATCATACTGATACAACAACATAACGAGCTAACAAAGGTTAAAGGTAATTACTTCACAGCTTCTTCTACAAAATTGTTCTGTTCTGCAACCCTGCTAGAGCAGGCACTGCGGCCTTTGGGGCTGGTAGAGGAGACGGCGTAGCATGTTGCAATACCTTTTGCACCAAGGCTCATGCCAACCTCTCCTATAGTCATACCAATGGTCACTTCATAAAGAATGTTTAATGCATTCACCAACGTTTTACTCAGTGTATATCAATAAGCACTCACAGACCCTTCCACTGTCCATTCAACCTTCACTCATTTCACAACGAGCACCGCATTGTTGCCGTGATTGTAGTGAGTATTCACTACAGCTCCCCGCTTACTCCGGGAAGCATGAGTTATATCAGTATAAGATGTAATTTAAAGTAGTTTATCAGTTCGAAAGAGGTCACTTCGAGAGCGGCGATGCCTGGAAATTCCACACTATGCAGGCGGCCGTGTGTAACGAACGCGAGCAAGCTGAGGTGCAGTAAGACTGAAGACAAGAGATAGACTGAAGACAAGAGGTAAAGTGCCCTTATCAGAATATACATAAAAATGCTGAAGAAGACGGAGTTGTCAAGTGACTTGAGTCCAGCTAAAATATCGATCTCTGTCACAGCTAGACTGGTGACAAAATGCAACTCGGCTCAATCAAGAATGGTGCCCTGAGCCTATTCTGAGCCCTGAGCCTATACTGCGAAAGATAAGGAAATCGAGTGCAAAAAGCAATTACAACTGTGTCCAATTCGTAATTTGTCTGCCCTATTTTGGCCTTAATATTCCCTCAGTACGGCTTCAACTTGAACCGAATGCTTTATCCCACTCAATAAATTTAAGAGCAGCATCCGCGCTTACTGACGGTCGCGTAGCCTGAAGAGCTGACTCGAATTCTGCCAGTCCAATTGATTGTTTACCCTGTAAAGCAGTAGTGGTTCTCTTATAGGAGAATGTTGAGTTCCACTGGTGAGGCTAAACAGTACACACTGTTATAGTATCATACTGCTTGCTACTACGTGGATTCATAGCAAG